GGGCCGGGCCCCTACACATTGACGATATAAACATTTATATTGACGGTGTGAACATTCACATTAAGGGTATTTTGGTAATTATGTCACCCATAGGACTTATTGAAACATAAGAAAATAATGTGAACTAAATGGAACATAAGTAGATGAAAAGGGTATTTTGGTCTTCTTATCTCAAATTGGACCTAATGGAATAGTAAAAAAGAATATGGGTTGGATGGAATAAACCTCTTAGAAAATGGATTTATCAAAAAAACTCCCATTTTCTATTTTTTAATAAATTTACCCAAAAAACCACAAAGAACAAATAAGGCGTCGTTTGGGAATAAGTTAATTTAGTAATTTTTTGGCTATTTGGTTAAAATATGAGCTAAAAAAAACTAGTATGTTTGGAATGATTTTTTGACTTTTTATGAAAAAATATGCAAAAAATAGAAAGAAAATAAAATTTTTGACTTTTTGACTAATTTAATAATTTTTTGATCTTTTAACTAAAAAGGAGGTTTCCAAACGTGGCCTATGGTGGGGTCCGGAAACAAACGGGGACGTTAGTGATAACTATCGCTTTCTTCCTTTTAAAAATAGCAATAATAATTATAGGATGATAACCATGCCCTCTCTCTCTCTCTCTCTCGATCGAATACAGGTCTCCTTTTCTCGAAAATTAGGGTTTATACATTATATATATATATATGTATATATATCTTCTCAACTGCAAAAGATAGATCTCCACCGAAAGCACTTGAAGGTAGGCAGTCTCAGCTCTGAAATCACTATTCACTTGTGTTTTAATTTTTGAATTTATCAAGTTTCGCATTTACAGAAGCATAGATCATATGATATTGAGTAGTTTTTGTGTTGTATACTTGTATTTCTCATGCTATATACACTTATTTTGTAGTTGTAGAATAATTCAATAGTTCAAAAGCTCTCTTGGAGAATAGATTATGTGAAGCTGATTTATGTTATTTGAGAGAACAATGAATCGGATGATTTTATGGCTAGGTTAGACCATCTCTAATCCTTCATTAGATCTTTCATCAAATTTAAATTTGATAAAAAACTGATAAAAACGGTACTCGTTGTGTTTCATCAGTTTGGTATCATATGAATGACGTGATACTTTTTTCATCAAATGAAGGGAGCGTTTAACCTTTTATCAAATTTATAGGTGACCCGTTAGACTGGACGTTCTTCTGGATGTCCTCCTAGACAGCCGGTTGTGGGATGAATTTGATGAAAATATTACACTAGCCGGTCGACCGCCTGGACATTCTCCCAGTTGACCGGTGATTTGATGCAAATTGAAAATTTAGTGTTGGAATGTTTGGTATCTTTTAACCCAAATTTTTACTCAATTTTGATGAAAAAAATGAGTAATCAAATTTTTTATCAAATTTGATGAAAAGTTTGATTTGATATCATTCACTCCAATGATAAATTTAAAATTTTCATCAAATCTTATTACAAGCCGGTTGTCCGGGAGGATGTCTGGGTGGGCGTCCATGGGTTAAAGTTGATGTTTAGATAAAGAAAGGCTGGTTGTCCGGGAGGAAGTCTGGCCCAACGGTCACCAACAAAATTTGATGAAAGGATAAAGTCCGTTGATTTGATGAAAAAACTAACTCTCCCTTCGTTTGATATCGGTTTGATGTTTTAATGCATTTTTCATCAAATTTAAATTTGATGAAAAATCTGATGAAGGATTGGAGATGGACTTAGAGGCGTAAAATAAGAGAATGGGAGCATTATGATGCTTATCAGAAAAAAAACACAAAAAAGAAATGGGGAATTATGATGATGACATGCATTCTTTTGTGTTTGTTTGCAAGGATGACTGGTTGAATTATCAGTGAATCTGTGGAAGTAAAGATTATACCTTTGTGCTCTATATGTATGTCAAAATTTGTGTTCATGCTAGGGACGGTTGAAGGAGTGCATCTAACTGACGGGATTGTTGACCAGGGGCTCTATTTATATTCCAACTTTAGTTTTTGTCGTTTTAGAATTCGCCTGGTGGCTGTCGTAAAAGTGTCCATTGTTAACATGGATCTCTCTCTAAATTCCAATATAGGTTATTTTCAATTTTGAAAATTTATGAGGTGGCTGCACATTTCCTGACGTGGTGCTGCTCAAATTTAAGTTGGTTTCCGAGTAAGGGAGATTATAAATACATTATGAAATTTGATTGTATGAGGTGTGCTAGTTTTGTTCTTTTGATTGGTAGCTTAACTACTTTGTGAGAGGGAGGAGAAAGGACTAAACTTGAATTCTTTATTATTAACAAGAATTTGGCGCTTATTTCGTGCAAGAGAGGGGTCGGGGTAAGAAGTGTTAAATGGACAATACATCAAGTTTGTGGGCTTGATTTGAGGAACAAACATAAGGTTGAATTGGTAATCCAATGTAGGTCACCAAGTTGGAGATCTTAATTTTTGGATAAATATGACTGTATAGGCAAGTTTTATACATCTAAAGATGAACAAGGAATTAAGTTCAGTTTGGCCTTCTGTACTGTTAACTTACGTTCACGAAGCAGCCACATTCGTTCACATATTAACATGTTAAAGATGCCATGAATTAGAAAATAAAGTGGTGAATCTGACCCAAGAATCAGTTTATCTAAACCTTGTTTCCTTGGTGTTACATGGAAGGCAGATCTAGGAGACTAGTAGGAACATACTTCAAATCATGATGCTCTATGCTAAAGGATCTCTTCATAACTTTCTTTATTTATAATTAGCTTCTTCATGGCTCACTAGTCGTGGTCTTTATTTATTTTAATTTTTTCAGTGACTTAATTGATATGCTTATCTTGGTTACATACTATGTTTGCTTGTTATTTGCTGTCATAATTTTTAGAATTCATCGCACAGAAAATGGGGACAATTCCATGTTTTTCTTTTTCATTGCCTTTTGTTGTTTTGGATTGTAAATCAAATTCTATATACTTGTAAGATATTTCCCCTTCTGAATTGTTTTATCTCCTTGATTTTTTGAACTATTTTTTGACACTCTTTTTATTAAATTAAATACAAAAGAATATTATTTTGTAAATTGGGCGGTTGGAATAGGATCTTGGTACAACTGCATCTCCTATATGCTTATAATTAAATAGTAATAATCCAGTGTCTAATTTTCCAGAGCTACAATTTGTTAGTTCCCCACTTGTTAAAAGAGGGAAAAAAAAAAGTGGAGAAGAAAAATGCTTTTTGCTTGTATGCTGTGTATGTTTCTTTGTTGAGCTTATGATCTGTATTCTTCTGATGTGGAAGTATCAACTCACAAGGCTCACAACCTGCAAATATTTTGCTTAATGAATAAAGTTGTGTGATGTATCTCAATATTTACTTGAAATTGTTTAATTATAGAACGGACTTATTCATAAAACATCTGAACTGAAGCAGGAGTTTAGCTGTCCGAATCTTATGTTTTTAAAACCTTTTTTTCCCCCTTTTCTGGTAGGTTGCTGTCTTACTGAAACTTTCCAGTTTCAACATAGGTTGCAGGCGCATGGGCAAAATTCAATAGTTGTATTGTATCAACTCCTGAACTTGTGTGCCTCTGAACGTGATTAATTTTGATATGACAAATGCAAAAAGATCCCCCAGGTAATTGGACAACTTGTGAATTTTAATAGTACTTGCGCTCCGTATTTTCGTTAGTTTCCCATCAAAAATAAGGGGACAAAAAAAGAAAGGGAACAGCTCTTGCTTTTAGAACTACCTTTCTATGTTCCAAAAATGCCACCGCTATTATGTGTACTGCTTCAGTACCACCCCTTTTTTGATTATTTGACATACCAATATATCATTCCCATTCAGCATACGGCAACAATCCCAAGATTTTGTAACAGTATCCAATAGTTTGTATCTGGTCTATTGGTTGTTCTGCTCTGTAACAGAACTATAAGGTATTATGCTAATATTATAAATATTTGTCTAAAGGAATCTGACAAGTTAACTAGAATTTGGGGTGAAACATGCCTTCTCCTTCCTTCTCTCTCTCTCTCTCTCTCTCAACACACACACACACACACACACACACATGTAGAAAGGAGTGATACACCTTTTGAATGCACAGACCATGGGGGGTTATATGTACTTCATTGTTGAAGGGAAATTTTACCACATGAATCTTAGCACTCTTATCTTGTAAGAGAATAACCTTAATTAATTTTATTATGAAAATGCACACATTTGTGCTCTTATTCGGCCGAATATCTTTTGATTCCTTTATATTTATCACACCAACTGACTTTGGTTTATAAGACTTGGTATGGATGTGTAGAAATTTAATGTATAAAGAGAAAAAGAGAATTGTATTATTGATTGATGTTTGTAATTGTTGAATTATTGAATGCTACAATGATTCCTATATATAGAAGAGCAGGTGGTAGTAGGTGGTAGGTGGAGTAGGTGAAGTGGAGGTGGTAGTGGTGTAGTGGGTTTAGTGGAGTAGGTGAGGTGGTAGTGGTGTAGTGGGTTAGGTTTAGTGGATGAAGTAGGTGATAGGTTTTAACAGGATGTGATACCTTGCGATATATGTTCTTGTTTGAATAAGTAATGTAAATTTATCTGTCTACTCCTATATTTTTCTTTTTCCTTTTCTTTTTTTAAATCTAAACTCTGGATATATGTTATACAGTAATTCTGCAGAGCCTTTTCAGTAGCTACGATATAAAGATTTTAGCATCCATGGTTGGGCATTGAGATGGAATCTAAGGTTTAAGCTTGGCAATATTTAATATGTTATCTCCGTTTATGGATGAATGCTTAGTAAGATGATTGATAGATGCAACAGATGGTGAGTTTGGTACCTCGGGGCATCTAGGAAATTATAAAAACACTTGCTTCACACTTGAGATGGTGCAACTATGCTCTAAATTACTTTTTAGCCTTGCTTGAGACATAGAAATTGGATAGTTGTTACCTTTTAATGTAGTTGGATGCTGTTGTTTTGTTTATTTTTCATTTCTTTTTAGGTTAAATTTGTGCTTGTTTGTTTTATATGTGGCAGCTATTTCGGATATCTGCAATTTTAGTGAAGTGATGCATGGGGTTGGGGTGAAAACTCCTACCTTTATGCCTGCAGCTCTTGAACATGTGAATCCACTCAATCTGAAACTGTAAAGGTAAGTCAGATGGGCAGACATATTTATTTCTCAAACATTTATATTGTATGACTTACTGGCTCTTTTTTTGTCTGAATTTGATGCAAGTCTCTTTATTTTTCTTCTCCTTGACAGACAACAAGAACTAAACCCATACACTTGCTACCGCTGTTATACAACTGCTGTGTAGTGCATATGAATGAAATCATGGCAATAAACTTGAGAACTAAGGGATTTTGTAGACTTTTAAGCTTGTTGGTCTTCTAAAAGAATAAAGTTTACACGAGGAGAAACACTAAGTTTACACACTTGATAAATTGGCAAAAGATTGTTAGAAATGCACATCAGTGGATAAATGCTATTCTTTAGCTGAAAAAAAGCACGAGGAAGAAATGAAAAAACTTAGCATTCATTGGATGGCTCTATTGAGCTCTTCCTCAGTACCGTAATTTGCAAAATCCATGTCAGGAAATTCAACTTAAAGCAATGTTCTTGGGATGGCATCTACTAGAATTCCAAAAAGTTTGGAATTTCAATGTCAATCGCCAAAGCTAAAAAATGTTACATCATATATTTGTCATACGATTGAACTGTAATGTGCCAAATTAGCATCCTGTAGATGAAATTTCTTAGTTGATTACTGAAGTTGTAAAGGACACGGATAGAAACTTGTGGGGTGCTGGACTGTTCCAGGGGTGTGAAGAGGAAGGTTGCCTATTGTCAAACCTAGATTCTCTTAGGAAGACTTACAAACCAAATTGAGGATGCATCAGTTGATGCTGAATGGTTGTTAAGAAATCCGTTCAACTATTTAATTGGTCCCAAAGCCAGAATGTATGGAAAATTGATCCAAGGAGAAGATCAAAAGTTTTATGAAGAGGGAGAAGACGAAGAGGGCCACAGCCCTAACACAAAAAGGCCACGGCCTTAATAATATTCTCAAAGCAGTTTTTCTAGACAATGATGAATGTGAAGGGAAAGGTCTATAACTCTTAGTTACAATAATTAGAACAAGATTGCCAGTTGAGTGGATGTGAATGTTGAATGTTTTGATGGAGCCAAAATTGATTGGTATGATGAAATTGGTTATAATATAAAGGTGACCTGCTTTTAAAGCAACAACCTGGTGAAGAGATGGATTGTGTTGGACCAGTGCTCTTATTTCTCTCATCACGATCATCCTCCACATCCAAGCATCTGAATAAATTTTATGCAAAATCATGGTTATGAACATTTTAGTGGTTATATGATTGATACACCATTTTTGAAATAAGATTGGGAGAATTTCCATGTGGTTTCTCTATCAATGCTGTTTCAGTTTACCTAATGCTGTGGTTATAACTACTTTGTGCAGCAATATCAATTTGTAAATGTATATTAAGTATAAATATTATATGGATTTAACCATGAGCAACTTAACTCAAGTTACTTCTGGGGGACAATCTTATAACAATCAAAAGCTACCTATTTGGAGCAGATCAGATTATAGGGCAAACAAAGAAACATGATGTTAGATGCTCTTTTCAGAAATATGAACCTTTGGATTGTGATGCACATTTAGGATGACACTTATTTAGGCTTGCAAAGTTGCAACCGATGCTGGATCACTTGAATCAGGCAGAAGATGTTAAGTAAAAGGCAATTACACTTGCAAATGGCACTACTCAGGTATTGCAATGTTGTACTATTGTTTATCAATCTGCACAACTTGCAGGTTTGAAGAGAGATCTGTTCTTACCCCCCAAATCAACTGTTCATCAACTCAACCTCATTGCTGTACTGTTGCTGCTTATACGGTCCTGAAATCAGCTAATAGATTTATGGTTGTTCAATGAAAACTGTACATTAAAATGATTGAATACATCTCTGGCAAGTGTAAGGTAAGGATTCAAATCATCACATTCATTCATTTCCATCATTTATTATTGTTTGCAAAACAGAAAAACAAAACAAAGCATTGGAATCGGAAACGATTAAGTGAGAAAATAAATAAGAGGGAACATGGTGGATCAAAACTGCTACTTGTGATGATTGCTTAAGAATGGCTTGTAGGTATTTTGGATGGTGGGCAGCAAAAAATCGAGGGTGAATAAAAATAAATTCACCATTGTTTTTGTGTTCTCAGTTGATTACTTCTTTTTCCATGGCTTCAGAATAGAAAGTACAATAATGCCTGCAATAATCAGGACCAAGAATATGGCAATTATCATGCATTTTCTTGATCTCTTCTGCAAGGCTCTGGCAGTGTGGAGGGCGTTTGTGCCCGTGTTCACATGTTCCACTGCATTTGTTACCTACAACAGAGGGAGAAAAGAAAGAACTGATTGTTGATTAATCTCTGAAATTCAATTTAATCCAAAGAGTCCCAACAATAGTATGCAGTAATCTAACTTCCTGGCAGTGGAGTTCTTTTGATAAATTAGGGTTCTTATCATTGATGATTATTTCTTTAAGCAGTTTTTATTTTCTTTTTTTATAACATGTCTTTCTAATACACCATTTGGTTCTCAGGAAGAATGAAGAAATGGGATTGGGTAATTTACGCCGTTAGTCTCTATAATTCAAGCAAAGCTTCATTTTAGTTTTCGTAATTTTAATTTGAACAATTTAAACTTTGCACTTAATTTTTTTGCTGTAATGTGATTTCTCCATTACTTATTGTTAAAATTTGGAATGGAAAAAACAATATGCAAAACTAGAGAGCCATATTGAAAATTATAGGGATCATTATCGTTTGGTTTTCATTGTGGATTATATAATCACAAAAGACAAAAAAAAGTTACAAAATCACAAAAAGACAAAAAAGTTACAAAAGTACTAAACTATCACATATACAAATAAAAAGTTAAAAAAACTTCATTCTATATTGAGGGTAATTTTGTCATTCTAAAGTCAAAAAGTTAAAAAAGCCAAACAAGAATACTAAGGCCTTGTTTGAGAACGAGCTCATTTAGTTAAAAAGTTATTAAAAAAGTTAACAATCTATGTCAAAAAGTTAAAGATTTTATATTCTCTTTATTTTTTACACATCTTTTCGTAAAAAGTTAAAAAGTCATTTTAAATATACTAGTTTTCTTTATTTCATATTTTAGTTAAATAGTCAAAAAATTATTAAATTAGCCTGTTCTCAAATGAGACCTAAATGACTAAAAAAGTCTCAGATTAAAAAAATTTAAAAAGTTAAGAAGTCAATTAAAAAAGTCAAAACCAAACGACACCTAAACCAAACCAATTGTATTTATTGTTTTCTTTTGAATATCACATTGTAATAAAATTAGAAGTATGGGTTTTAAATTGAAATCATAAAAGTTAAAGTGAAACTGTAAGGGACCAGAAGTGTAATAGAGGGACCAGAAGTGTAATTAAGCCAAAGGGAATAAAAAGTATGCTAAGGGAAACCATTTGGTGAGCATCTTTCATTGATTTTCTTTTTGTTTTTGAGAATCAAAGAGAGCTTATAATGAAAATTGAAAACCATGATAATCGAAAAACAAAAACGAGTGCTTTTATTTTTTTTATTTTTATTATTATTTTTTATGATTTTTAGAAAATCAAAGGCTTTGTTTGGCAGAGCTTTGCAAAGTTTATTTCACCACTTGATTTGAGGTAGATGTTTGGTTACAGTTTTAAAAAATTAATTCGATATTCACTTTTGCAAATACGTCTATCCAGTCATCCTTCCAGTCGTTCGGCCGGATGAGCGGAACAATATTAGGTAAATAAAAATATAATTTTGGAATTTTATTTAAATTTTTTATGAGTTTTGAATAGAATTTTGAATTATGTGTTTGATTATGAGTTGTAAGTTTTTGAATCAAATATCATATGTTACATGAAAAATTTCAAACTCAATTCAAAACTCTTTTGAAAGCTCATAACTAAATAAATTTTTTACACTCAAATCATAATTTAAAAACTTCACCAAATGGTACCAAATATTCTTTCTTTATTTAAGTTTATTTATACTATTTGCCTTTCCTCAACAAAATAAATAAATAAATAAAACTTTAAAAAAAAAAAAACCCTGTTTGCCTCATAAGCTATAAGTAAAAGTTCAAACAACAAGACTAGTTTGGTGTAATTTCTTGTAAGTTAAAAATTGATAATCAAAAAGTAAAATCACTTCAATTTTCCCTACCTATTTTTGGAAGTAGGAAAAAAAATTAACTTTTTAGCTTGTTTTGGCTTTTTGTAAAAAAAAAAAAAAAGATTAGAAAAAAAAAGGAAAAAAGGGGAATGAAACAAAAAAATTCCAATACATTTTTTTTTTTTTTTTTTAATTGTCAAAATAAACCTAAATAGTTTGACATGTTTAAAATAATATAATAGAGAGCTCTGATATTATAACTTTAACATGAGCTCTAGTAAAGTGTCTAACCCAAAAAAAGAAAAAAAAAAGAAACAAAAAAAGAAAAAAAAAGGGCAATGATATATACCACTAAAAGTGGTGCTCTAAAGCACCATTAGTGAGTTGACACGCTTAAAAAAAAAAAAAAAAGACGAAGAAAAAAAGCACAAGGCAGTGGATACTGCCACATCATTAGTACTACCATTAATTAGTGGTCTCAACCATTTTCCAAAAAAGAAAAGTAAACTAAAACATTACATCATCATCATGTGAGACCCACTGTTAGAGCTCTTAAATTAAAACTCTCAAATATTATTATTATACCAAATAAGATAGAGTGAGATGGTTTAGCAATCCATGGAAAGACAGTCGTACAGCCCAAAATGGTCCAATCTAAGGGAAGGTCTGAAATCGTGGATTTATCAATGAAAATGGAAATGAAAGAGAAAGAAATTTAACTTCTCCAAACATAGCACAAGTGTTTGAACAAAGTAGAATGGGGTAACCACTAGCTCACCTTCGTCCAAGGTGAGATCAAGGGGACAAGTATACTTTAACAGCCTCGTTTACAAGTATATATTTATAGTGTGTTTACTAGAGAAGTGGTTGTGTCAAATGATGTGTGAAACCACATGCGTTACATTTCAAGGTAAAAAAAATAAAAAATAAAAAATAAAAAATAAAAAATAAAAAATAAAAAATAGAAGCAAGTATCTGTTTATGTTTCGTTTTCTACTTTAATTTTGTAAGAAACACAAAATTTGTCAGGCGAGCTATCTTCAAAATTATATATATATATATATATATATATATTAAAATAAAATAGAAACCAGTTTTCTTATGGTTGTTTAAATTCTAGAACAGTATGTCGTTATTATAGAAAAACATGTTGCTATTATGGAACTAATATAGCGCTATGTTTATATTTTTATGAAATTCAAGTGTTATATATATATTTTTGTTATTTAATTATGTGAATCCGTGGTCCTAAACCGATCCAATCCGTATTTAAATGGATTGGTTCGGATTGGTTCCATGATTTAAACGGATTGGATTGGTTCCAATTTTTTAGGAACCGTAAATAACGGATTGGTCCTGGTTTTATCCCAACCCGGTCCAATCCGGACCATGCTCAACCCTAAATCGTGGATTTATCAATGAAAAGGGAAATGAAAGAGAAAGAAGTTTAACTTCTCCAAACATAGCACAAGTGTTTGAACAAAGTAGAATGGGGTAACCACTAGCTCACCTTCGTCCAAGGTGAGATCAAGGGGACAAGTATACTTTAAGAGCATTTTTTGATTGGAAGGATTAAAGTATGGGATTAGGATTATTAATCCGTGGGCCCAACCATCCTATGTTTGTTTTGATATTTGGGTTAGGACTATTAATCCAATGGATAATTAATCCAACAAATTTGTAGGATAATTAGTAATGGGGTAGGGGTGGGATAGTTAATACCACACTAATTTGATAGGATTATTAATACCTCACTATTAGTATTGTGAATCAAACATGGCCTAACAGCCTCGTTTACAAGTATATATTTATAGTGTGTTTACTAGAGAAGTGGTTGTGTCAAATGATGTGTGAAACCACATGCGTTACATTTCAAGGTAAAAAAAATAAAAAATAAAAAATAGAAGCAAGTATCTGTTTATGTTTCGTTTTCTACTTTAATTTTGTAAGAAACACAAAATTTGTCAGGCGAGCTATCTTCAAAATTATATATATATATATATATAGAGAGAGAGAGAGAGAGAGAGAGAGAAAATAAACCCCCCTGAAGAAATAGCAAAAAACAACTACTAAAATTTGCACAAAAATTAAAACGATGGTGTTCTGTAGCTCTTTCATTATTTTTGTTTTTCAAAAATACAAATAATAGTAACAAATAAATAAAGAAACCAAAACATGACCAAATAGGGCCTAAGTTCCTGTATTAGAGATTCATGTTCAAGTTCTTAGCAGCTATTTCTGGAGGGGGAAATGTAACATCGAATACAGGCCAAACAAACACAGCCATACGACAAATTAGAGAAAAAGTTCTACAAAATGTGGTGTTTGTAGCAAAAATATACATACATATATATGTAAATAAAAATGTAATAGAAAAGTATCACAATTTTTGGCTTCATTTTGAAAAAATAAAAGGAAAACAAAAAAAACTGGACCTCATTTCTCTCTCTCTCTCTTTTTTTTTGGTAGAAAAACAAATGAACCAGTTTTTTTTCTTCTAAAAAATGACACTAGCAAACAAAAACACAACCAACAAGCCCAAAAGCAAATCCGTACAGTTACTATAGGATCAGCGGCAAAGATCACATTAAATCAAATCAAAATCAAAATCAAAATCAAAATCAAGCAATCGATTCAGAAACCCTCTGTCAATAAGACATCACTGTATTTGCAGTCCAAATCCTCAACCACCAAAACACGAACTTTACACAGACCACTAAGAGTCAAATAAATAAATTTTAAAAAAAGGAATACATAGACCAAGAATTGCAATGGAAAGGCCACACCAAAACAGGAAGAATGCACATACACACACATGCAGAGACATAATTATAAATTATTTTCCAATCAACTCAAGACCATTACTACTACATTCACAACAAATGAACCCCAACGGGACAGACTCAAGCTCCCTTTTTACTATTCCAAGGTTTGAGGACACCGAGAACTATGACTCCTACTATTACTAAGAGAATTATAATGGCAATGCACATCCATTTTCGGGAATTCCTCTGAAGTTTCTTTGCATTCTGAAGTGCAGTTGTACCTGACTGGACATGATCGACTGCATTCGAAACCTGAACAAGCCCTCCATTAACACACACACACACACACACACACACGATAGACAAAGCAAAACACATCCTCTCTCACAATCAAGGTTTTAAAAAGCGGCCGCAACTATTACGTAACGTCATTATGTAACAATTGTGGTGTTACCGCCGCCCGTTACGGCCGCTATAGCGGTGTGACAAAAATTCATAACCGTAACGGCCGCAACAATAGGAAAAATCTCCACATTAACTTATGACTAATACAAAAATTAGTACTGATAAAAAATATATATATATATATATAAATTAGTATATATATTGGATCATGTATTAAAACTAAACAAAAATATTAAAAATCATTTTGAACCTCACTAAATCTGAATCTAAAATAAAAACATGTGTATCAATATGTTTTTCTAAAGTTGTGAGAAGAATGAAAAAATTCATGTTGTCACCATCGTTATGCTATGGCCGTTACACCCTACAACCATGTCAATGCTACCGCTACCGTAACAGTCACCGCCACTATTATTTAAAACCTTATTAACAATGCATTTGCAAAGAGAGAACATGCAAAGAATCAGAGCAAAAGCATACCTGGCTTTCAATGTTATCTAATATGTCCCCTTGAGCCTCAACCAAAACCGCCATATCAAGGTAAATCTGAAACATACAATCATGTTAAACAAGTAGGTGGTAATATTGGGAAGACCAAACATAGGTTTATTCAGCTATACCTGATGCAAGTCAAGAAGCTTTTTCTCTAGTTCCTTCACAGCATCATGTCTCTCCTGAATTTCTTCCACGGTATTCAGCACCTGCAACCAACCATGTTCACATGCATTGGACGCCTTGAGAATTAAACCCCCCCCCCAAAAAAAAGAAAGAAGAAGAGGATCCACCCTACATTGAACTAGAGTTTTATCTTGAACACTACTGAAAGCAATACAAGTAACTCTAATTGACCAATTACTAATCTTGTTGAACCATAATAACTTAGTTAAATTTTAAAGCGAAAATGCTACTTGCTGGACAACCTAAAGATTGTTATCTTGAACAATATTGAGAAAAATATAGGCAACTCTGAAAAAGAAAAAAATGAAAATAACAAGAGAGAGACATTAGGGAAAAAGAAAAGAAGTTACACATGAGTAGTTAAATGCTGTAGTTGAGTGCGTTTCTGTGTGTGCATGTGTATGCAATAGTATGCATGTATGCTTGTGTCTGTGACTGTAGTATACATTTTTAGCATCCATCTGAGACTGATGTTCAAGGGTATATCGAGATTTTTTGAACGATAGTGACTTCAACAACCCATATAGATGCATGGAAAACAGAAGTAAATTAGTTTTAGCTCCTAAAAGATCCCAAAACACAGATTATTAGCCAAAAGTATTATAGAAAGTTCCAATAAGGGTAATACTAGAACAGATTCTTGTATCAGATGAAGTCAAAAACTATTCCCAGATACCTATTTAATTGATATCCAAAATTTTACTTCCTCTAACATCAAGAAAACGAGACCCAAGGCTATATGGCACCGTGTTCTTATTTCACTCCATACGTCATCAACCAGAAAACAAATAATTTTAGGAATCTACAGGTCCCAACCCAAACCTTTTGTAAATAGAAGACCAACTTCCACTAATCTCACTCCATGGGCAAAATTCAGAATCTTATTCAAGTATTAAACACACAAGACACAACTCAACAGTCAACCACACATAGAAGGAGGATCAAATTAAGTTGAAATTATCTGTAGCCGGATGTATTAGACAAAACACATACATAAAAAGATAATTAAACTAGTGACTAGCTACAATTTAGTTCACGAGACTTGTTCACAACCAGAAACACATGTAGTATGGGAAATATGGTATAAGTAGAAAAGGTAGTACCTGCCCTCTTCCCATTTCTTGAATAGCGTTCTGGAATATTTGTTCACTGTTACCGGTTTCTATCAGGTGGTCGATTGTCTGATACAGTCAAAAAAAATTTCAGTTAGGATAACATCCATAGTTCCATTTCACCATTACAGCCCAAATATTGATCTCATTATTTTGGCTCACCTCTTCATCTGGTCTGGTTCCTGTGACTGCTCAGTCATCTCAAAATTAAAACACAAAGTGAAACATAGCCAATAAAAACAAGATCAGCCAGCAACACGCAAAATGATTACGAAAGACATCATTCCAACTTCAAATTTTAACTGTAATTTTTGTTTATATGCAGACAGCAATATTCAGACCTGTTATGACCCTTCGCTCCACGACCTCACGGTATTCATCTTGGATCCTTTGTCTCAGAGTCTAATCAAGGAAATTCAGTTAGTGAATGAAAAGAAAGCAACTACCAAAATGAATATATATCCAAATATACCTGAAATTCAATCATTAGGTCCCTGAACTTTTTTGTCAAGGCACTGCGTTTCAAGAAAATAATTAAATATGATTCTAAAACAACAAATGTGCAATAATCTGAAATTCATATGCTGCAGAAGAAACACACTTTGTCATATTTGTCCTTGATCGATCAACACCTGTTCCCTTTCCACATCCAGGTTTTTGTCGATTGGCTAAGTTCTAAAGAGAAAGAAGAGGGAATCAGTACACACTGCCATACCAGGCCACAACTACCATCAGATAACATTTTGATAGCCATAAAAATAAAGGAATTAAGAAATACATCTTTGCTTATTGCTTCTAGTTTTGCTTTGACATTTCGTGCAATCTTTCCCACTTCATCAACATCTTTCTCCATTCGCTTTTTGATTGCTGAAAATGAGAAATCAGATCAGATTGTTGCAGACGAAGAACTACAGCAAATATGAGCAGTTAGCTAACTAAACCTAAAATTTTGTCAACCAGTTGCTGAAAAGGATAAAATTTGGTTTTCTTGCATATCACCACAAGACCAAAAGAAAAAGAAAAAAAAAAAAAGGGGGCATGTGACTAGGCAAATATCACTACATAACTAGCTAAGATAATCTAAACGGCGTTACTCAGCATGCCACTGATGCACATAGAATGTGACAATGAGATACAAGTGCGTGATAATCACCTTGCAACTAAAACATTTCAGCATAAGACTGAAAGAAATAAAACAAGGATTTGACCTTTCATGGATGAAGCTTTTGTAACAGACTTTGACTCCTCATTAGCATCCTGCAGGCAAGGGCTCACATTTTGAGTTTCTAAAGTTAAATTAAAGTATGATTTCCAGAAAGAGAAAAACTAATATTGCATCATTTGGTTCATGCAAAAGCATGAATAAGCATATAACCCATGCTTAGAGAACTTAACTTTCTTAAAATCCAGTTGTACACAAAATTAGGTACTTGTACTACAACTGCTACGGTATGAATGATAACAAATGCGGAAATCAAGATCAGCAAGGTTTAAGAGAATTGAAGGTCTTCTTTTTGTTTGTTAAGAAGAGAGATAATGAAGATCTTATTCTTGATTCATGCAACACTACAACAACAATAAGACAAAACACCAGTAAAGTAAGGAAGAATTTCACTGACGTATGAACCAGAAAGCTACAATAAACAGCATAACTACAGGTCTCCTAGTCCCTGCAGGATAACAATAGCTCTTGCTTCAGCGTGCTTCTAGTTTTTCTTCTTCTTCTTTTTTTTCATATTGCTTTCGTACCCAAAATAATAATAATAATAATAAAAGGGGAAACTCATATCCCACTTTATAATCAATTTTTGAGATAAAAAAAAATGAGATACAAAAAAATTGAAGTAATAATTCTATGAATAAAGCATCAAGGTTGAGCATCTTACATGCATGTAATTAGACTCACAAGAGTTGTTTTCAATGTTTCAATTTTTTCTTATAATTTATACTTTTGATCCAAGTAAGGACTGGGTTGCACAAAATGACACATTAAAAGCTTTTAGGTACTATTACTTTATAATAATAATAAACTGAATCCTATATGGTTCTTTAGTTCTTAGAAATTATACATCCTAGAAAGTTTCACAAAACCTAGAAATGAAGTCCCGTGCATTCAAATGGATTCGCAATAGCATGGTGGGGGGAAAAAATATCACTTTTGCAATTGCTACTCTCTTTTACACTCTTAAACCCTTGTTTTTCTTCATTATCAATTTCCTTCCTTTATCACTTGCCTTCAGTGGCCATCATATATGATATTACAGTTTCCTCTTAGAGCTGTCTGCTATCAATTTTGGTATCAGAGTCAAGTTGCAAGGGTATTGATTGGCCAACTGCAGTTGCAAACAGTTAAGTTTTGCAACAATTAGCAAAATTTCAGAAAAAGAATAAAGCCTACACCTACAAGAAGAAGAACAAATCCTTCCAATATATCACTGATTCTGTAGATTTGGTGGAAAGAAAGAAGCAAGTCTTTCAGGGTTCCATGGATAGCCATCAAGGTAAGTTAAACAACAAAGAAAGTTAACTTTTCATCTATTGCAAGCTAACCTTCTTCCTCTACTATCTACAACAACAAGTATGGAAGTTTTGATGATTCTGCTATACTTGACAGGATGGAGAGAAATAAAACAGAAGACATGCACCGCTACTTGACAAGATTATTTGACTTGCTTGAAAATCCATGAAAATTTTGATCTGGGATGACACAAGTACATGAGAAGGATGAGGTCCGTAACTCAAAGGGATATGATGAACACTCTCTTACTTGAAAAATCCATCCCTCTGAAAGTAGGGAGAGAGATATGAGTCGAGCTACTCAACATATGCTCACATTTGCAGGTGATGAAGAGTTGAAACTAAAGTCTTGTGGTTCGACAAACTGCAAACAATATATGCTTATAAGGTAAACAGACACAGAAGGTTATCCACTATTTGAGTGCACTAAGCATAAGTTGAGGCTGCCTTCCTTTTCCTGTTTTTAACATTGAGCGTCAGGTTACTGAAGGGGACAGCTGAAGCAGGGAACCTTATGCTGGTCCCTTTTCCAGTTCAATGCTTGTTCTTATGAAGCATGACAACCTTATACCAGGACTGAAATTTAATTCTAACAGGACCTATCAAGAGATAAAGCATGAAATAACTAAAGAACATATTTCTAATGTCTTCTCCTTCAACAAAGTAATAATTAATAGCTAAGGCAATGCATAATATTGAAGGCACAGAGACTGATCAAGACATAAATGAAAACTAATTGCTTGCTTCCTTAGAACCACAGCACATATGCTCCATTAACTCACGAAAAACCAATTCAATGAGATATCACAAATACCACAACCCATCGCTAAAGAAAAATACTTAATGTCAGGATGCAACATTAAAAGGAGAACTGTCCAGTTCATACCTTAAGTTTTGTAAGCAACCCAGACAGCTTGTCTACTTGTTTCTCAACATCTTGTATCTGCAACACAGTCAAAATGAAACAAAACAATAAGAAGTAATCAGGAAGCAAAAGATTAATTGACAAAAAAACTATAGTTCTTTTGTGATTCCTGTCCCTTCAAGTTTCATCCTAACCCTTTATCCACAACATACACACAAAGTCCAACATTGCAAAATGGGATGGTGCTTCCTATTCATAACAAGGATTTTACAGGGTTTTGTTAATGAGTGTCCTAAGGGCATTGGTTAACAAAACTTAAAATGCTAGTACATTCTTTACAGAACACTCTCTTAAGCTCGTTAACAAGTGCACTTAGGGAGATCGTTAACAAAATCCTTTAAAAAATAATTTGCGTGGGATGTATCATGTACCTGCTTATTGAAAGCTTCCATTCCCAAATCTGAATTACTCCTAGGGACTCGAGCACCCATCTCGATATCTGCATCTCTGGAAGGATGATCTTTGGCATCACCAACAAATGAATCCTGAAACAGTACATAGTTATACGAACTTGAATAGTCTTCACCAAGTGAGTTAGAAGAACTAAAAATCACGAACAATTAAACTACCATAGAATACTATAGAGAACCTTCAAGGAGAGCACTTAAACCAACCAAGTTCATCTGAAGAGATTAAAGTAGGAAAACAACTAAATTGTTGGGTTGTCTTGGAATGAACAATCAAATTATGTAAACAAAGCATTCGCATCAAATCAATTGTATTCACACAGATTCTTCTTCTCTTTACAGATGAAAAATCAAGGAACAAAAAATAAAATTGTAATTTCAATCTTACAAGTTTCAAAACTTGAGTATATAGGGCACAAAGTAAAAAACTTCAACTTAAAAAAAAATTTAATACAACTAAATGGCTAAGTTAAGATCACTATTTGCAAACATAATAACAGATAACATAAGATTCAAAACTATGTTTTCTGTTAAAAGACCCTTTAATTACAAGTAAAAGCATTTCCCTTCTTTTTTGCGTTTGATTAGGAAAATGGCAAGAAAATTACTGAAATTTGTCAAAAATCCCTTTTTTTCCTTTTTCAGTTTGGTTTCACAAATCTGAGATCCAAACAGCGTGTTCAATTGCCACAAATATCATAAAAAAACTGGATAATAATAATAATAATAATCAACCTAACAGTACCAAATTCAATCTGAGTCAACACCAATTCAACATACTTGCGAGAATTTGCCGAACATATTCATCACTAAATCAGACTAAAATTGAAATTCAATTAAGTAGTAGGTTCAAATCGTACTAATCAAGCACTAATACAAACAGTCATCGCATCGACAGTAACAGTCAAAGCGAAATCTATAATCTATATACAGAATAAAAGGGATAATCAAGTATACCGTGAGCAAGTCGTTCATCTTGATCGAATCACTCTAGAGAGAGACTGAATTTTAGAGAGAGAGAGAGAGCGACGATGGCGATACGTTGTTGGGGCAAAAACAAAAAGGAGCTCAGGAACAACAATTTGGGTTTGCTGTTAAAATAATAGTATAGTAAAAGGTACACCTTTTAATTATAGGGGAAAAAAAAAAACGTAACTTTATATTTTTTGATTTATAATAAAAAAAAAATCAAATGTAAAATAATCATAATCAAATATTTTAAAATATTGTTATAATTAAAAAAAATTAATCAAAACTAAAGATAAAAATAACATATATATTTTAATACATAATTAAGGCCTCATTTGACAAGTGACTTTTTTAGTCAAAAAGTCATTACAAATATACTAATTTTTTTACATCACATTTTAACTAAAAAGTCAAAAAATGACTAAAAAAATTTGTTCCCAAACGAAGCCTAAATAGAAAAATTTTAATAAACACCCTTCGTACTATATACGTCCATAACCCCTAATTATGATAATATTAATTTTTTTAATTATGATTAATTTTTTAGTGTATATACTCTTTTACAGATGTATCATATACACCATAATTATGATTAAATCGGAAATTTGTAATATACACCACCGTAATTATGATTATGCCATTTTTTTAATTATGGTTAATTTTTTTCGTTAATTATAATTCATGAGATCTTGTGTTTGATTATAATTTATTTTTTAATTATAATTTAAAAAATATGAAATTATATCATTTTTTTATTTAATTATAAAATATATATATTATATGTTTTCTAATTAAATATGATATATTTCGGAGATGTTTGGGCCGGCGACAATGTGAGCCGTAGAGGGCGAGAAACGCCAGGAGACAGACAGCACATGCCCTATGTATACTAAACTTCAACGCGTTACCAACAAAGCAAACACCACATTTGTTTTTAGCAACTATGTTTCAATTACATCAATTATGCCTTTAATTTCGACCTTAATTAGTAAGTCTTAATTACTAAGATGAATAATGCTTGGGACCCCTTTTGGGGTCACCCCCTCACCCCCCTTTGTCACATGGCGGGTGGTGATTGGAGGAGCAGGAAAAAAAGAAAAAGAAAAAGAAAAAGAAAATGTAACCAATGAGAGAGAGAGGGGGTCAAAGGGGTGGGGGAAAAGGGGAATGAATCATTATTGTACTAAGATAGAGGGAATGACCTGTTATCAGATTTTTTGGTATGAAAAAAGGGATAAATTATATATTTCACCTTTTTACTTTTGCTTTTTGTCCCTCACTTTTTTAATTCTAATAATTAAATTATTGAATTATAACTTATGCTTCAATTTCATTCTTTCATCATCCCATAAAAGTTGAAACATGATAACTCAATATGAAATTTAATTGTAAGTAGAAAGATGAAGAGTATACTTTGTCAATGGTGCAATCAGAAATTTTCTTTAGCAGAGTCATTTAACAAAGTATCATCAATATCCTATATCATATTTTTAGTTTTACACAATCTGTCAACATTAACATTCACATAGTACTCTGTAAATTTCATATATTCTCAAATCACATTAACAAAAGTAACCCAAATTAGTGAAATTACAAGTAAAAACAAAATATTGGGACATCAGAGAGAAAAAGAATGAAGGAAGAAGTAACGTGAGAATAAGAGACAACCAAAGCAATAGTCAATGAAGAGAACCAAAAGTCGATGACCAGTCTCCAAGAGGAATAAACAAACATTTGGTTTGTTTCTAGAAGCCTAAATTTCTGAATAAAGTTTGATTTTGTTTTTCCCTACTGGGGTTAATTTGTAAAAATTTAAAAATTAATTTATTTTATTTAGACCCACTAGGTTCAATTTGTAAATACTTATAATTTTTTACATATACTCTATCAAAAATTTGAAATTCAATGGTGTCAATTGATATCATTATTCAAAGCATAGCTACGCCCTTCTATTTTGTCATAAAAATATATATTTCTTTAATACTCATAAAAATGTTCACTTAGCCCTTACATTAGTATTTTCTGTTTAAATTTTTAACAGTGAATGATGGGAAGTCACATTGAAATACAAATTAAAATATGATAATTTAATTATTACAATTAGAAGATCTAAAGTAAATTTTAGGTAGAAATTAGAGGGTAAAAAGTGTAATTAATCAAAAGATAAAAAATAAAAAAATAAAAAATTGATTTTTGAGAAAGGCTTCCGTACGTAATTGGATCTTACTGAATTTTGTATTGTGTTCTAACAAAATAAAAATCAAAGTTTCACATTGAATTATAACTTAATTTCACAATCATATTAGGCTAATAGATATGTGTTGATAGACTATAATTGTTCTCCTTAAAATTGTAAATTACTGATTAAAAAAAAAAAAAAAAACTTATAACTTAATTTCACAAACAAGTTGGAAGCTTCCATTTATTTACACTCGTTAGATTCAAGAGTCAGAGATAAGAGCATAGTTTATGTATATTTATACAGATAGGCAAACAATGTTTAGAAAAATAAATATAATATTTTAAATATTTATTTAAGTAAACAAATAGAATAACTATCAAACAAGCCCCTATAGCTCAGTGGTAGAGCGTCAGTCTTGTAAACTGAAGGTCTGTAGTTCGATCCTGCATGGGGGCAAATTTTTATTTCTTTTTTTAAAATTCTTTTTCTAGTTTTTTGATATCTTATACCTAGTTATACTTCAATTAGTGTATCAATCACACAAGCAAAACATGGAAATAATAGAATTAGCACATACACTTAACCTTAAATCCTGGAAAAGGAGGTATACTCTTTAGATATCTTATGCTTGAATTAGTACATCGAGCACACAAACAATACACAAAAACATGGAAAATAAGAGAATTAGATGGAAACTAAATATGAAATCAGAGACTAATCCGCGTAAAATGGGCAGCAACAGAGGAATTAAATTGTTGTCTTTTGGTGCATGACATACTAATAGTCATTGTAGTGTATGCCCATCTTATTAAGTATTATTATTCTACACTTCGCTAAACAAACACTCTATCTATAGAATATAAATCAAAAACAAAAACAATTTCCTCTACTTTGTCCACGTGAACATTCCTTTCACCATCACTTTTAGATAATACACTATGCAGAACAATAACAATACTATACAATTCTTCCATATCGCCGTAAAACAATCTCTATAGTGACCCTTGATCTCAATCAAAACAATTTAAAAAAATCTACATGTCAATTAGCAAACCCTTTTTATATGCCCATGTTATAAGCTCTGCAAACATCACAAAAACATTGAAGAATCGCACTATATTATCATAATTCAGCAAAAATGCCCGGACCTCAAGCCAGAAGTTCCCGGAAGGGTCTAAAAATCTGCTGCGGAGTCACCTTCATTCTCGTGATCGTCTTCATAACCGTTTCAATAACCTTGTTTTTCACCGTGTTCAAGCCAAAACAACCCAAAATCCTCACCTACCCTGCAACACTTGAGAATGTTCAATTTCAAGTATACCCTTTTAGTCTAAATGCAACATTAGGCTTGACTCTAACCATTGTAAACCGTAACTATGGAAACTTCAAGTACAAGAGCACAACAACTTATGTCAATTACCACGGTATCAACATAGCAGAAGTACCCATGGAGCCCGAAACAGTCCCTGCACGCGGCAAACTCAACATTACCACCTATGCAAATGTTACCGGGGATAAGTTGATCATGAGCCCCGATTTTTGGAAAGATATTGGGGCCGGGAGTCTCAACTTTACATCAACATCTGCAATGCATGGTAAGGTGGGTATGCTGAAGATTTTCAAGCTGACTGCAACAGTTTTTTGTTACTGCGACATCTCTGTCATTATTAAAACTCGAGGTGTGGAGTCTCAATGCTATTCTAAAATTAAATTGTGATTGTTGTAGAGAGCAATTTTTTTATGTATTTTTATTTGATGCTGTTATCTTTTAAGTGTGTCTAGTTTTGTTGAAGTGGAAAAAAAAAAGGTCTGTTGTGTTACTGTGTTTGCGTACATATACAAACATGTGCTTGTTTTATGTAACTGGTTTTGATATGTTTAATTGTGTTGTCGCTAGATTGGACTTGAAAACGAATATGTTCAATCTTGCAATTTTCTTCGGAGGTGGATTCCTCTGATCTATCATCCACCCAAAAAAAAAAAAAAGTTCATTTATCTAATAATCGCGTTTATCATTACAAAAATAGATGATAATTGTGTTTTTAAAATAGACTATCCTCTTTTTTTTTTTTTTTTTTTTGTGTGTGTGTGTGTGTGTGTGTGTGTGTGTGAGATAAATGTGATAAATTGAATAGTTTACAATTTTTTGATTAACTTAATTTTAATTTTTAATTTTTTTATAAATGATATATATAAAATGGGTAACAAAATGAACAGTTTAAATTATCAAAACAAAATTTATAATGAGCGGCACGAACCCGATCCCAACCCACAGGTTGGGCTATGTCCCTTACTAGTTGGCCTCAAAAATAGCCATGCTAGTCAATAGATGCCACTGGGCTTGCAAGTTGTTTGTATCACATTTTATTTTTTTGTCGATTGTGATCTATTAATTATGGTTAAGTTTGATTATGGTTTGTCGATTAAAATCATAAATTATTTTCAAAGAATAATCTTGACCACATTTGTTTTTATTATTATTATTTCTGTTGATAGACATGTTAACGTGGCATGACAGATGTGTTAGAGACTTAGAAAAAAGTAACAAGCCATTAATGGCTAAAAAAGAAGAACCTCTTCTCTCGAAAAATGTTATTTATGAGTAGTTCTAAATTAGTCAATTTAGGAGTAGATTAAACTAGCCCCCACTTCTCTTCTTTCTGTCGATTGCTGTATTTCTCATTTCTTTGTTCTTGTTTGAGTTTTTGAGATCGATAGCAAGTGACAATTTAATTAAATAAATACATATTATTTTTTTGTTCAAATCCTTCTTCACTCAGTTATCTCAAAGGAAGTCCTTAATCTGTTTAAAGTATAGAACTTAACCATAAAATCTGATCTTTTTGCGTTTATTAAAATTGGTTGAAGTCTATCACTCAATCACTATCAATTGAGTTAAACTAAATTTTTGCTAACATAAATTGGCATGCCCAATGGGACCATTCTAACTTGGAGTGATGATGATGAATAAGCAAAGTTATTCCTATGAAATCATGCCTTCAACAGGTATGCTTACATCTTGTGCACCCATGGACACAAACCGCCAATGAAGTGGCAATGTTCCCATAAATACAGATTATCAGTGGAATGCCTCATATTCTGAAAATTGCCAGTATTATGGTGGCGGTTCTATTGCTTACTGTCAACATAATGACATGATAAATGATGTGAAAAGAATGATTTAGCGTTGTGAGAATGAAATTTATTGGTGCGGGAGTGAAATTTTAGTCCTGAAAGAAGAAATTAATTCTCTTATAGGCAAATATTTCAAATAATTTCATCATCTCCGTATTATTTGACGCAAAGAGATTTAAATTATTGTGATGGAAAAATTTATCAACTTAAAGGCCAAAATTTTCTAAATGATGAAGAAATTCTATATTGGAAGCAAAAATTAAAAGGTATAATGGCCAATGAAAAATTAAGATATGAACAAAATGTGGCTCATATAGTTAATACACATATTTTTGAAGAACTAATCATTCATAAAGAGCCAAGGTATGTGGTTAGAAGGGTTAGCACACCAAGTCATGAAGATAATATGACTTTGGAGAATTTTCATAGGCCATTAATGGCTAAAATTAAAAAACAATCCTTTCTCTCAAAAAATATTGAGAATTATGATAATAAAAGTTCACCTGAGGGGCATGATGTTTTGCTAAACGTGGTAAAAAGTACAAAGTCATTAATGGCTAAAAAAGAAGAACCTCTTCTCTCGAAAAATGTTGAAAAATATTACAAAATGATAGTAAAAATTCACTTGATGAGCATGATTTTAAGCCAAAGATGGCTGAAAATTATGAACCCACGTTTATTGAATGTGAATTTTTTGGCATTGTTCAAAGTGTCAAAGTTTATAAATTTTTCATAACATTCAATTATGTGAGTTTTGGGATCCAACATCTATTTTGGAATTGTGGATCACACCAAAAATTAATTTTCATAACATGGTTTAAAAAACAACTACAGTTGAAAGATGCTATATGTAGTGAATTCTCTTTAATTAGCCAAAATGTGGCTAACAGAGAATTGTTTTATTTTAAAAATAAGGGATGTGACTCTTTATTATGTCACTCGACAGAGCCAAAGATAGGGTGTTCGCCAATCGACAGTGATAGATTAAAAGTTACTATGGGTGTAATATAACTCTTTAAGAATTTGAATTATTTGCACTATAAAATATTTTATGTCGATTGTGGTAAACCGCTTTATAAATCACTTAATTGGATTTCATTCGGCAATCCATTCAAATGTGGAGGGCATTGTTTGCACCATATTTTATTTTTCTATCGATTGTGGCATATTAATTATGGCCAAGTTTTATTATGGTCTGTCGATTGAAATCATAACCTATTTTCAAAGAATAACCTTGACCACATTTGTTTTTGTTATTATTATTTCTATTGATAGGCATGTTAGCGTAGCATGACAGATGTGTTAACAACATGGCATGATGACATGTTAAATAGAGGGCCAGAAAGTTAGTAATTACAACAATTTGAAAGTTAGTTGTTGAGATCATGGAGTCAAGATCAAATTAAGCACCAAATCTGCAAAATGGTTCCTATGGATATGGATAATGTGGAGAAAATCATGAGTTTGTTGAGGAAATGGTAGGCTTAGGTTATCTCTTTCTTTCATGTGGCTGAGCCTATAAATAGGCCAAGAGAGATACAAAAATCATTAACAACCATCAATCACACTCGTAAAGAGTTATTTAGGAGTAGTTCTAAGTTAGACATTTTAGGAGTAGATTAAACTAGTAGCTTTTTTCAATCCCCACTTCTCTTCTTTCTGTCAATTGCTGTATTTCTCATTTCTTTGTTCTTATTTGAGCTATTTTAATCGATAGCAAATGATAATTTAATTGAATAAATATATATTATTTTTCTGTTCAAATCTTTCTTTACTCAATTACCTCAAGGGAAGTCTTTAATTTGTTTAAGGTATAGAACTCAACTACAAAACTTGATATTTTTATGTTTATTAAAATTGATTGAAATTTGTCGACCAATCACTGTTGATGTCGATTAAGTTAAACTAAATTTTTGCTAACACAAGTCCATAGTTTATCTACAAAATAATATATAAACTAATTTTAAAAGGAAATGATTTTCACTTTCTAGTCCATTTTCTTTATTTTATTTTCAAAAAGTGCAATATATTAACTTAAAACAATCAAAAATAATTTTTTTTATGTTGAAATTTGGCCAAACCTAAACTGAGACCAAATTTGTTGAGAGAAACTTGGGCTTGGGCTTGAGCAAGCAATTTTGGGCTAGAGGTCTAACAATGTACGTAGTAATTGTCAGAACAAACAACATTAAAATCTTGAATTTGAAGTACACAAAAGTATGAAAAGTGTTTGAGACTCTCATTTTTAGTGACTCTCACAATCTTCAATTGATTTGTAATCACTTGTTATTATTTTCCCCTCTCTCTCTGCTCCTTCTCTCTCACAAATGTTGTGGGGGTCTGGGGATTGTGGGAGTCTGGAGCATTACTACAAAAGTATCGATCAAAAAAAAAAAAAAACGAGTACACAAAAGTAATTCCATTTGTTAATGGGCATTGGATAATGTTAAGGATATCAATTTTTGTATTAAATAAATGGTCAAATGTCTCATATGACTTCACACCTATGTGAGATATTTGATAAAAAATTTGGAGCATATAGCATTTTCCATGGACATTTAGCTTTTTAACAACTTTTTTGTTAATTTTTGGTGAATTATAAAAAAAAAAAACCCCAATTAGAATGCCTTACATTTTTAGATCCTGCTAGACTAAAAAAATTTAAAAAATAAATTTTATAGTGAATTTAATAAATAAATAAATTAATTAAAAGGCCTACACTTTTAGGTCTTGCTAAACTAAAAATATTTTAGAAAATTTTAAAATCTTGCTAAAAATAATTTTTTTTTAATATCTTTTGTATGAGTACGAAATAATCTTCTCGTATAATCCTGTTAATCAAGTTTGCACTCCTCCAAACTTCGTCGCTTTGCTACTTGAAAACACAAACTTGAGCTAGCCGGCGGGTGTGTGCCGAAAACCTCTCTGATGCCTAAGTCAGCGAATAGACAATAGACACAAAAGCCCTGTGTAATTGAGAGTCAGAATTGTGATACTTGTACGCAGGTCTGTCATGAGCTTTTATAGATTCCGCTTGACACAATTCTAGTAGGACTCCAACTCTTCGTATAAGAGTCCTTCTAGGAATCACATTTCCAAGGATAATGCCTATTATGACAACACCCTACTCACTACTAACCAAGTGAGATGGTTTTTACCTCGGCTAAGTTGGTGCGGTTTAACTGAGTTAGCTTGTCTCTGCCTTGCTCTCAACAAAGCAATGATGTAGACGGCGTTTGGCCGAGCTAAACTTAGTTCGGCCCTCGCCACTGATGCGTACCTCGGTTGGCTACAAGGCTTCCTTTCGGACAGTTAAGTCGAAGCCTTGGTAACACAGCCGATCGGATCGATGTCAGTCTGTCCAAAACCGAGCTATCGAAGCCCCTAATACGGCCCATAACCTGGTCCTTAGTGCGGTCCAATTTATCCATATAAATTACCCTCTCAGTTGCTCCTTAATTCCCTTAGCAAAAGATGAGTGGGATTAGACTTCTCTCAATCGTGCTAAAATGCCTAAAACTATTCGAGCCAGAATACTCAACCGACCGAGTCCAAAATGTTTTATCCAACCGAGCTAACTTTAGCTCGGCCTCCAAAACCCATGCTGGTTGAATAACCCATCGTCTCATATATCTGACATCATGTCCTTACTAGGACGCGTGGCGTGCGTTAATTGCCTTTTTGTACTATAACAACCGTCTCACACTACTCAAGAAAAATTTGAAAAGACTTGCCGTTTTACCTCCATTACATACATAATCCCTTACCTTCAAACAGTCATCGTTCATCGTTTTATCTTCAAGCCCGAAAAATTCTTGCGACCTATACTCTAATCCTGCACTTTTGAGTTCTTCAAACCCTAGGACCTTCATTGTTGTCAACAAATTGAGCTTAAGCACTGTTGCTGGAACTCTCTTTACCCATCACCATTGCTTTCTTCATTCAAAAACTTGTAAGTCGCCTGCACTTCTTCGCGCTCTATATGACTTTCCATGTTCTGGGATTGTAAATTTATTGATAATACTTCAATAGAATTTGTAACGTTTTTGCATTTGTTGTATACAAAAACAAACTCAGAACTGTATTGAACTCCCACAAGTTTATTCCTTAGGAAAAATGCCCCATACCTAGAACTGAAATCCAACCAAAATTTTGGTTTTGATCTAGAATCACACTAGAACCGAGCTACAAACTTGTTTGTGCTTATTTAAATGTGTACCACCGAACTAAGAGAACATCTTACCACGATCGTAACCCAGCCTCACTGTCTAGCCGAACAAACTAATTTACACTGATGCCTTAGCCCGGTTACTAGTTGGCCATAACACATTCTATGTTTCTTCACTGTACAGACTTTGACTAGGTTTTGTCCAGGCACACCATTCACCACAAGGTCTGGCTAAGGTGCTGAGCAAATTTTTATAAACAACCTAAAGACACCTTTATGGGCAAATACCGGTTCCTTGTGAATTCGCTCGGTGCCATAGTCGAGTTTTGAAGGGAATACAACATCCCTGACGACGTATAATTCGAGTTAGCCGAACTAAACTCTACGCCCTGGGGTAAACTAGGCTTCGTCCCTTTTACACTTATATCCATCGTAGAGGCTGGGCTTAGATTCCCTATCCAACCCGTTATATGTGAGTTTCTTAGGCAAACAAGATTATGTCCCACCCAATTGTCTACAAACATGTACAGGATAATTAATGGAATTGTCGAGCTAAATTACAGGTTTGGCATCAACCTCGGATTGGCCAAGCTATTTCATCAATACTCGTTTGGTCAAAATAACGACGGTTGGGTCCATTACCTGCGTATCAGAAAGGGCCGAGAGAAAATCATCAAGCATGCACTAGACAAGGACTTGAATGACGATGATTTTCTCTAGATCTCTGGTAACTTTGAGGATCAGGACGCCCAAATACTAGGCTATAACATCAACTGGAATAAAAGAAGTCCTGGTGAGCTTAGTTCGATTTGTGGTAATAATTAACACCATTCTGCAGCCGTGCTAACACTTGAGTTTTCCTTTTTTTTTTTCCTTTTGCAGATCTGAACCGGTTGAAGACAGACTATGCATACGCTAACCAAGCTGCGTTACGAGCTGCCTGACGGTATCACCACCGTGATTGGACCAAGCTTTTAGGAGTAGTGCCAACGTACTGCTATAGTGGCAAGAGAAAAAATAAAGTCACAGACTTCTTGCTTGAACTTTCATCTGAACCAAATCCCAGCTTACCTCAGATCAACCTCATTCCCCCCACCGAAAAACAAGAAATGGCAAAAAAGAGGGCCGTACGAGCTCTTCTCACCGAACAAACTTTTGTCGAGATCCGAACCGAACAAGCTTCTTCCGGTCAACTGTGCTAGACCATGGTCGCCCTTCCAACCACCAGGGGAACCACGTCTCGGCCAAGTAAGCGTTCTTGCACCTCGTCGACCGAGCCGCAACATTTGGTGGATAAGGAAGAGACTGTGGTTCCTGATCCTGTGGTGTCGAACCCAGAACCTACCCAATTTGACCGAGCGAGCCCTTCGGAATGGGCTCCAACAATGTTCTACAAGAACCGTGCTGTGTCCACCAAGGACTCGGTGGTTGCTGATAAAGACCATATGCTCGCATTCAACCTTTCCCAAAGTCTTTGCCTGTCTGCTGTTATGGAGCACCACGATCACTTGACCGAGCTAAAGGCAATTCGGTTGGCTTCGAAGTCTATGGTGTTGGTAAGTCTTCCACTTGTTATTATAAGTTTATTAATTTTGCTCAGTTTGTAGCCTAACACCCCTTCATTTAACCCGCAGGCACTGCAAAAAAACCACATAGCACACAAACGTGTGCTCGAACTGAGGAAGATAGTGCGGTTGGCTGTGGTTGATTCAAACGCCAAGGCGGCCGAGCTGAAAGAGGTAAAGGCAAAACTGGCTACAGCGGTTACGGAGAATGAGCAACTGGCCGAACTAGTTAACATGACTGAATTTGACAAGCAAAAGGCTTTGGCCGAGAAAAAAGACCGGTATTTGCACAAGCCGGTCAAGCTAGAAAAGAAAAAGAACGCCGAGATCCAGGAGTGGAAGAAGAAGACGGAAGGCTCGGAAGACCGAGGTTACAAGGAGGATGAAAAAGCCTATGTCTAGTAGTGTGAAGCAGCAAAAGATGTTTTCTTCAAATGTGGGTGGAAGGCTACGGTTGCTACGCTCGGTCAGGGGTATGACTCCGAAATTTTTGTGAATCCTTCCCCTCATTTCATACCGAGCTACATGACTGACTACGCTAACGCGGTCCAACAGAAGTTTCTTCAAGAGGGGGATGAGGAAGAGAAAACCCTTGATCCAGTTAATCCCCCTCCTGTCAACATTGACCTCGGTCTTCAGCCTTCCCTGCCTGCTCGGGTGGATCTGCTCAGCTAAGCTATGGCCGACACAATTGACGGGGTGCCTGTGTCCGAGCTAACCTAGGAAGTTGCTGCCGAAACTGTCCTGCCTAGTGGTAAAGGTCGGGGTGACCTAGATGCTGACCTTGAGGACTTGTTCACTTGATCAAGAAACCCTTTTGTTTTCTTTGTTTTATGAAAATGTAACCAGACTATCAATCCCACCTCTTGTGATCACCTTTTTAATGAATGAACCACTTTTTTTTTGTTTCTGCTTGCTTGGTTATTTCCTTTTTCCAGTGTTTTTTCAACTTCTTGCTCGGTTACTGCACTTCTCCTCTCTGTAGTGTTTCATCTTTACTATAAGCCTAGTCGACCTAGTTAGCTCGGCCTTACCTTATCCTGCCAATCTTTTTCGTTGAAATACTTATTTTGGCTGAAGAACAACTTGGGAAACTGTTGAACCTTTGTAACCGAGATTTTTATTTTGATTTTTATCTCGGCTAAAGGAAAACCTTCTTAAGCCTAGATCCTTATCTCGGCTAAAAAAAGAAAAGTGTTGTTTAAACCTACCAACCTTCCTAAGCAGTGATCCTTGTCTCGGCTTTAGGAAGAAAAAATTATTGGTCAAACCTGCCGACCTTCTTGAGCCTTATCTTGGCTAAAGAACAAACTAAGTGTTGGTTAAACCTGTCAACTTTCTTAAGCCTAGATCCTTGTCTTGGCTGAAGAAATAAAAGTGTTGGTAAAACCTGCTAACCTTCTTGAGCCTAGATCCTTATCTCGACTGAAGAACGAACTAAGTGTTGGTCAAACTTGCCAACCTTCTTGAGCCTAGATCCTTATCTCGGCTGAAGAAAGAAAAAAGTGTTGGTCAAATCTCCCAACCTTCTTAAGCTTAGATCCTTATCTCGGCTGAAGAAAGAAAAAGTGTTAGTCAAACCTCCCAACCTTTTTTAGCCTAGATCCTTATCTTGGCTGAAAGAAGAAAAAATGTTGGTCAAACTTGCCAACCTTCTTGAGCCTAGGCCCTTATCTCGACTGAAAGAGGAAGAAAGTGTAGGTCAAACCTGCCAACCTTCTTGGTTGCCCCCAGTCGGGCTATCAACTTTTACAAACATAAGAAAGAATTTTTACCGAAAAAGTGTCTACTTGTTTTATTGAAAAAGAAAAAATTACAAGTGTTTTAAGAAAAAGCTAAAAATAAAATATTTTAAGATTGGCCGTGTTCCATGGCCTGGGAATAGTTTTGCTGTCCATATCTTCTAAGTGATATGTCCCTCTTCCTGCTAAACCAATCACTTTGTATGGCCTTTCCCAATTAGAACCTAACTTGCTATCTGCAGGTACCAAAGTGTTGCCCATTACTTTGTGCAGTACCCAATCTCCAATCATGAATTGCCTTGGGTACACTATTTTGTTGTATTTCTTGGATAACTTTTATTGATATGAGGCAATGTGCACCTATGCCCTTTCTCTTCTTTCTTCTGCAGGGTCGAGTTTTAGGGCTATGGCCTCATTATTCAAGTTTGGATCAAAATTTTCGCTTTTAATAGTGGGGAGGCCCACTTCTAGTAGGATTACTGCCTCTATGCCATAAGCCAAAGAAAAAGGTGTTTCACCAGTTCACCGCCGAGGTGTGGTATGGCAGGCCCATAAAACATAGGGAGGCTCCTCAGCCCACTTGCCTTTTGCTTTTTCCAGCCTTTTTTTTAGACCGTCTAAGGCTACTTGATTGGAAGTCTTAGCCTGGCCATTAGCTTGGGGGTACGCCGGTGTAGAGTTATAGAATTCTATATTGTATTCTTCGCAAAAGCCCCTAAAGATTTTACCATCAAACTGAGTGCCGTTGTCGGATATTAAAGCCTTGGGTATGCCAAACCGAGTTATGATGTTTTCCCAGACGAACTTTTTGACATCTTTTTTTTTTATAGATGCGAGTGCTTCTGCCTCCACCCACTTTGTGAAGTAGTCCGTTGTTACGAGAAAGAACTTTCTATTGCCTGGTGCGGTTGGGAGTAGTCCTACTATATCTTGGCACCACATTGCAAAGGGCTACGAGCTGGTCAAATGTAGGAGCTCTCTGGCCAGTTGATGTATTTGATGTGCGAACTTTTGACATTTTTCACACTTCTTGACATATTTCTTTGAATTTGCTTGTATGTACGGCCACCAAAACCCTTGTGAAATTGCTCGGTAGGCCAGCGATCTTCCCCCTTGGTGGCTTCCGTAAACACCTTCGTCTATTTCGAACAAAAATGCCTCAACCTTACTGGGATGGACACACTTCAAGTAAGGTCCTGTGAATGATTTTTTGTACAATGCTAGTGATAGAGAGAGCCAAAATCGCTGTGACTTTGCTCTAATTTTGTTGGCTTCTTTCTTTTCCTCAGGTAAGATGTCATCTTTTAAAAACACTATGATGGGATCTATCTAGGAAAGGCCTAGCTCAGCGCAACATGCTTTGGCTGCTTCCAGCTCTTCAATACTTGGTCTGGGGAGGAAGTAAATTAACAATGAGTGTAGGATAGGCGTATCTGCCATTGACGCAAAATCGACCAACTCATTTGCTTCACTATTTTCCTCTCGACCGATTTGCTCTATCTGAACTACTTCAAACTTCATGATCTCCTTTCTGGCCAACTCTTGGTACTTGGCCATTCTATCATCATTTGCTTTGTAGTCGCCCGAAATCTGGTTGACTACCAGTTGGGAGTCACTGTATACCATTAGCTCGGTGGCCTTCATGCGAAATGCTGACTTCAAACCTGGTAATAATGCTTCGTACTCCTGTGACAACCTTCACCACTGTTTACTGATAATACCACTGATTACTGCTAAACTGTGACTGAACATGATAAGTAACTGATTGGGATGAAATCCCAGACTGATTGCATGAACGTGTTATTGTAGACGTCCCTGAACGCCCCGGGAGGAGATCCCCCCCGTTTTGTTCATTGGGCTCACTACAGTTCAGGACTCAATGTCACGGTCCTGTATCTAATCTCGCAGAGTGCAATTGAAGACCGATGAAATCATCAAAGAGTCCAAATCCGGCAAATCGTTTTTGAAAACAGATTTTTGAAAGAAGTGCCAAACATGGATTGCTTTGCCAGATACAGAGTCGCCACCTAAATATTTTATTTTGGAAAATTTAGGAAATCCTGACTCGTTGCCTAAGGCCACGTGTCCGTCATCACCAAAGTTGCCTCGGCTCGGGAACTTGGGTACGATTGGGGAAGGTCACTTTGTGAGCACCCCCGCTCGCCTGATCAAAGATCGGCCTCTACTAACCATGATATCTAGTTTTGAAAACATTATGCGTTCTTATTCCGGTTATTAGCCTAGATTTACTATGTGATGCGCACAGCATACAAGGATAGACTGGGTCGCCTGAATTGGAACAAAACATTTCATGTTTGTTTATTTGAAAATGGTTTGATGGTGCTGCTCGCAAACAGGCTAAAATGTAGATTTGCCACCCTCAGGTGGGCTTAGAAAACATGATGATTTGCCACTCTCAAGTGGGCTTAAAACTCACAATTGATGAATTATTCCAATCCAAATAACCCAACCTTCACCCACAGGCATTCAGGCAGGTATATCATATAAGCAAATAGCCTTATGGTAAGCATGCTATCATGGTAGTCACTCACACACATGCAAGGATGCTAAAGCATAAAAGCTTACCTAGTACTCCAAACCAAAACATAAGCTATGTTAGAAATCCATGCATGATCC